TTATTAACCACTGCACTGGGGCTGGGGTTGGTGCCTGTCAAACCCCAGCCAGGCAGCACCAGACCCTGCCCTGGGGCCAAATCCAGCTGGGGGGATGCTAAAAACCCCCCAAAACTGAGCACTTGGCAGCAGTTCCTGCCCGTCCCCCTGCTCTGGGTCTGTCCCTGTCACCCACAGTGCCCCTGTCCCTGCACCACAGGGTGGCTGGATGGGTGTCTGCAGCGGGCACTGGGTGTCTGCCACGGGCACGGGCACCCCGTGCCAGGTCCAACTCTAACCATGCTAACCTCTAACCCTCCCTGCTTAAGAGTTTTATTTTTCTATTTATAAATGGTAATATAAATGTCCCCCATGCCTGCCTGCCCTGGCAGCGGGGCTCACCCCATGGGGCAGGGGGCAGCCTGCTTTTAACCACTTCAGTTAAAAACAAACAAACAAACAAACAAACAAAAAAAAACCCCAAAAGAAATACTACTATTTAATGTTTTGGGAAAATAAAGAAAGTCTATGGCCCTATTGGAGCTGTGGCTGGGGAGTCTGGAGGGGCTGGAATTGGCCATCCCAAGGGGCTGGGGGTCTTGGGGCTGGAGTATCCCAGGGTCTGGGGGTCATTGGGGTGGGGGTCAGGTATCCTGAGCAGCTGGGGTATCTTGGAACTGGGTAGGGCATTGCAGGGGGCTGGGGGATCCCTGGGGTTTGACATCCTGGGGGTCCCTGGTGATGGAGTAGGGAGCCCAGTTCTCCACGGCCTTTCTGGCGTCCAGATGGGCAAAAATCTCACTTTCCCCTCCGAATTTTGGCCAGATGGAGACAACCTTGTGCCTCGGCTTCTGGTGAGGGGAACAGCAATGCAGCCCCTAGGGGTTGGGGTATCCCCAGGAGGGTGTGGGTCCCTGGGGCTGGGCACTGCAGGAAAATGGGGCATTGCCAGGCTGGGGGTCCCTGAAGATTGAGTCACCAGAGGCTGGGGATCCCTGGGGCAGGGGTCAAACATCCTGAAATATCCCCGGGGGGCTGAGGGTCCTGGTGCTGGGGGAGGCAGCGATGGGGATCTCGGGGAGCAGGAGCGGTTTGATGGGTGTGGGTGTTCCCGGGTGTCCCCGGGCCGGGACAAGTTGTGGGGGGGATGGGGAAGGAGTGGGAGGGATGGGGAGGGGATGGGGGGGGTCAGGACCAGGACACTCCGCCCCTCCCCCCCATTCCCGCTCACACGCGCGACCACCACGTGGCCACGGCCCTTCCCTCCGTTTTCATGAATGGAGATCCCCTCCTGCCAAGGCGCATGCGCCGCCTCTTAGCCCCGCCCCCTCCTCCCAGCGCAGCCAATGGGAGTGGGCGGGCGGTGTTGTGGTCACGTGCGGCCGCCGCTGTAGTGGCGGCGGCCCCGCCCCCCAGCACGGCGGGTGCTTTATTGCGCTGTTTGCCGCGCCCGCCCGCGCCGGTCCCGCCGAGTCCTCATCCTCCGTTACCGAGCCCCGGGTCCCTGTGGGGGGACTCGGCCTGGGGGTGTCCTGCCCTCCGGGGGTCCCTGCCCGAGGGTGTCCTGCCCGGGGGGTACGTGAGAGCGGGGCTGCTCCACTAGGGATTACCGGGAACGGCGGGTGCACCGGAGGGGCTCAGCACGATGGGTCCCCACCCCCACGTGGGGGTTTGGGGCCGGTTTCAGCCCTCCCGGGACCCCTTGTGACCCCGGGGCTGTGTCCCCTGGAGCCGCACCGGAAAGGGGTTCCCGTTTTTCCGTCCCTCCGGTGACGCTGGGACCACCCAGTCGTGTTGTTTTCCCCTCCCCCGGTAAAACCTCCCTGCCCCGCCATTCGTGGAGGGCTGTGAGCCCACGGTGGAGAGCAGTAAGTCCCGGGTGGGTGGGGGGCTGCCTGCCCGGGGTCTCTCTTCCCGATGCCCCTGTGGGACCCCAGGTGACGAGGACAGACGTGTCCCCACTTCTGTGGGGGGTGGCTTGTGTCCCAAAACCTTGTGCTGAGCGCTGAGGTGCCCCTGGAATGAGGTGGAAGAGGGTCTGAGCCTTGAGGGGATGATTTGGGGGTCCCAGGCAGCCCCCCCGACGTGGTGGTGGTGGGCAAGGAGGAGTTCCCTCTGCAGCTGGGCAGGTAATGCTGGGGCAGTTTGGGGGGGTCTGGGGGATCTTGTGGGGCTGCTGCCCTCCCAGCCACCCCTGCCAGCAGTGACAAAAGTCCTGCCACACTCCTTCATCATCAGCATCCACGGCTCCATCCTGGTGACATCCCTGGGGAACCCCTGAGACCTGGGGACATCACCTGGGACTGGGAGGACACCTTGGTGGGATGATGTGCCTCGATGTCCCCTTGTCCCCACGGCTTCCAGGCGGTCAAACCCTCCACAGCAAGCTGTGTGAGAGTGGGGGAGGACATGGCATGTGCGGTCCCTCCTGGGGAGGGGGTGCCAGGGTGGTCCGTGCCCTGATCCTCCCAGTGCCCGTGGTGCTGCTGGGGAACAAGGCAGACCTGGCCCTGCAGAGGTGAGCGGGGGTCCGGGGGGGTCTGGGGTCCCACGTGTGTGTCCCAGTGGCACATCCTGCCTGTCCCCAGCTGGGAGGTGAGGGCAGATGGAGGGAACAAGCTGCTGGAGTTGTGGGGGCCATTTTCCTCGAGTCCTCAGCCCAGGAGATGGGGCACAGAGCCCACCCGGACCCCCAGTGTGCTGGCACTGATGTCCCCTCATCCTCAGGTGACCACGGGGATCTTCACGAAGCTCACTGAGGAGCTGCACAACTCCTGTGGCAGACCCACCAGCCTGCTGCGACCCTGGGGTGGGGCAGACCCTTCCCCAGGACCCTCACCCTTGAACACAAGGGAGAAAAGGAGGAAAAGCAGCTTTGGGGCAGCCAAACTCCTGCTGTGGTTGGGAGCCCCTCGCTCTGGGGCTCACAGGGGGGCTGGCAGCAGGCTGGGGGGTTCTGGCCCGGCCAGGAGCCCCCCAGTTCATCACTGCTGCCCCCCACACACGCACAAGGACAGGTCGGGGCCGTTCCTGCTCCGGCAGCCAGGGCTCAATGCGGGTGTTGTTCCCAGCGTGGGGCCGGACCCGTGGGAGTCGGGGCTGAAACAATTAAACTTTGTTTTGTCTCTAAACCCCTGGATTGGGGGGGCTGTTCCTTGCTGGGAGGGGGGAGGCTCCTTCCAACACCCCAGCACGGGGGTCCCTCCAACCCTGGATGTGCTCCCATGAGCCCCCTCCTCATGGGACTGCGCACCCCAAGAGCCTCACTGGGACTCTTGGGGGGGCTTTCAGCCCTGTCCCCCCCCCATTTTATTCCCTGAGAACTTCAGCTCTTGGTTCATGAGCGTGGGGGGGCTCTGGCTGCGGTTCCCCTTGTGGCTTATCTCCACCCAGTCGGGCTAATTGTTGCTAATTAGCCAATTATGGTAGTAAAGAGAAGCAGGAGCTGCTGAGGGGGTGTGAAGTGCTTTTGGGGTGCTGGGGCCAGGGTAGGGGGGTCCGGGGGGCTGCACCCCCTCAACTGCCCTCCCAGATCGCTGGGTCTGGGGGTTTGGGCTCCCGGGGACCCTGGGTCTGACCCCCCCCACCCCTCCCCGGAGCTGGGGGTCCCGGGGGGGTTGATGTGGCCCCAAACGGGGGGTACCGGCCCCGTGTACCCCCTTAGGGTCCGGGGGAGCAGGACCGGCTGCTCCGGGGACACCGGAACCGGGCCTGCGTGCTGCAGGACCGTGGCTCAGCAGCAGCACGCGGTGGCAGTGAGCGAGCGGGGACCGGGACCGGGCATGGCGGCTGCTACCGGGGATTCCCGGACCGCGGCAGCCGCTACTCCAGGGACACCGGCAGCGGACACAACAGCTCTTCCGGATACACCGGGACCTACCCCGGCGGCTCCTACGGGGAAACCTGGGACCGGGCACATCGGCTGATGACGGCGACACCGACCCGGGACACCGTGGGCGATCTCGCTCCCACCGGCTTCTCGGGAGACCCGGATCCCACCCTCCCTTTCTCTAACCCCCATCGCGGTCCGGGAGGCCTCCCTCTATCCATCCCCGGGGCCGCCCCGGTGCCGGTGCCGCTCGGGGGGCGGAGCCTCTGTCGGCCGGCCCCGCCCCCTCGGTGCCCACGTGCGCTCCCGCCCCGGCGCCGCCGGGGTTAAGCGCGGCGGAGGGATCTCCCCCCCCCGCCCCGCCCGGCAGCGTGCGCTGCGGCCGCGCGCGCGCCGTCACACCCCCCCGCAC